GAAGCAGAATATGGTACCAAAATAGGAAGAAGCCTTTTTAACAACCTGTGATGTGCCAGTGATAACGCTTTGCTTACTGATAGTGAAGAGGACTTGAAGTATTTACGGATGGACACAGTCACTGCTACAATGAACTCAAGTATGTTGGAGATTGTGAGGATGGCACAGGACAGGACAACGCTTGGGTCTGCTGTTCACACGGTCCCAAGGAGTCATTCTCGACTCAATGGCACCTAACAACAATAACAACAGCCCTCTAGAAGTTAGTGTAGTAGCATCAATAAATCCTGGACTATGGGATCTGGATGCCAGGGCAGACCTCATGCTCTGCTTGTTAATTGCCCCATGACTTGGGAAGAGAAGTTTTAATGTTGTTTCTGTTGTGGTGGTGGTTTTTTTGCTGTAGAGTCGAGCACGACTCATAGCGACCCTATGAACAAAAGACCTGAAGCCTGTTTATAACTATCGTCATTTCTCAAAGTTCATAGCGTTTTCAGAGGCATGTGGTTTAGGAAGTGGGTGCTTAATATAATGTCCTCATAATGTCCCTGGTTGCACCGTGAGCGTGCTGTCAGGACGCATCAACTCTCAGAGAAACAAAGCACCACACTTGGAGAAGTACAGGGGCAGGTGAAGGAGAGGAAGATCCCAACGAGATGATTGACACAGTGATGGAAACAATGGAGTTGGACAAGGTGTAGACCAGGCGGTCGGCACAGGACGGGACGAGCTTTCAGTATGTTCCTAAGGTCACTGTGGGAAGTCCCTCGATGCCACCTGACAATGTCATTGATGAAATGATTGCGTCCAACCCTGATTACAGTTCCTTTCCCATCGATGCTAGTGTTGCTCTCGTGCTCTTTGCAATGTGTGGGGACATCACCCCTTCCCCGACGGATGTCAGAGTCTCCCCTCTGGTTCCCAGGCCGGTAAAGAAGGCTAATCCCCAGATTCCAGTTCTCAGCACAGGGGTCCCCTGCGAACCTCCCTCCAGGCTGAGGCCCCTGTTACTCACCAGATGAGGAGTAGCCGTCTGTGGTTGGGAATTCAGGATCGTCAGCTTTCTCTGTGGCTGGGGAGAGGGATGGATTGAGAGTTGACAAGAGGATTGCGGATGGCCTGTCCCAAGCAGCGACGTTCACCCTCCCCTGGGAGACATTTCTCTCAGATCGCATGTGGACATCATCGCATCACAGACAACATCCAAAGACTTCTGGGGGCAGAGGGGAGAGGCTTGAAGGAGACATCTCATCACTCTGTGTCACTGTACTGTGCCCATCACGAGCTGTTTCTGGTCCCTTCCTTACTCACGATTCAATGTCCAGGCCAGCTATTATCAGATTCTGACCCTGTCGCCTTCCCATCTGTGTCTTTTTTATTATTATTATATTTATTTGTGTGTACTGTCAAATCAGATATGACTGGTACAGGAGGAGATTGTTCCTTTTTCTCCAGGAGAGCATCTGGTGGATTTGAACTGCGCACCTCTGGGAACCATTTGTGTCTTTTTAACTGTGTCATTTGTTCCTTAACCCCCCTCCAAGTTCAAGGTCATGTGCTTCCCAGGCCACGATGGGGCCAGGACCAGACCATTACTTGGCATTGGGGGTGGAGAGGAGTCACGATCAAGTATCTTCCAGGATGTTCTGGTCCTGGATCCAAGGGAGAAATATGTGTGGAGGCCTAAGACCCAGAGAAAGGGGTGGGGAGCCACTTATGCCCTCAATGCACAGAGCCCAGGACGAATTAGGGGACTAGATAGGTGGGGTTTCCACAAAGTGCCAGGATTTCTTGTCCTTCGTCACCTTTCACAGACATGTCCCCTGACCGAGGTCCCCTTCCCCTGGGGAGGGAGTTCTGTGCTGTTCTTCGGGGGGAGTTTTATACTGTCCTATGGGGAGGACTTCTGTGTTGTCCTATTCTGCGACCCTCGGGCCTGCCTTTAATTGTTTTTGGTGAAACATCCTTCTAGGTTGTATAACCCTGGTCTGTCCACTTGCTGTACAGAGGTAACTTGTGGTGGCTGTGAAGCTGAACACTGTGACACTGATGTGTCAAATGCAAGAATGTTCACCCATGGCGGACAGTGTTTGGTGGAGCTCCCCGATTCAAACAAGCTTGGGGGGGGGGGGAACAAGCTTGGAAGCAGCAGTGGCATCCACTTCCGTAATAGCTTGCCCCTGGAAACCCTATGAACCTGGAGAAAGGACGAAAGTTATACAAGTGTCCAGGACTTTCGTTCATAGGGTCGCTATGAGTCGCCTGCGACTCAACGGCACTTAACAACGACAATGGGGAGTAGTTCTCTGCTGTCATTTGGGGGGAGTTCTATGCTGTCCTTTGGGGGTGTCCTCTTGGGTCACTATCCTAGCCTTGGATCCCAGGCCAAGAAGCTTTACGTTAGTATTTGAGCGTTAAAATAAAAAAGTAGAGCGGACAGGACCAGAGAGACAGCGCTTTGACGACATTGCTCTTAGGATCACATGCTTCCACCACATGCCTGGCATAGCGGTAGGTTTTAGGTTGTTGGTGAATATCTGGGGACATCTCACTGCCCAGCCTCTGTCAGTTCCTTTCTGTGGGTTTATAAGTCCCTGGCTCACACGCAGGGTGGCCTGAGCTGAGAGCCCAGAGCCCCGTCTCCATCACCAGTGGCCACGCACCCCACCCCTCCAAGTCGGACTCTGCTTTGCGCACCAGTTGAATGGAGCTCTGTGGATGGGACATGAGAAGCATCAGAAACGTCTGTGAACGGGGAGAAAGACAACTGGAGAAGCTAAGTGGGGGCTGTTAATGGTGGGTCCCACTCACACTGGCCCTTCTCTCCCTGGTTTTCATCCCAAGACCACGTGTGCATGTCACTCAATTACAAACAACAAGCTAAGCCTTCCAGCACACACCTTTCCTGATCTTAAAGCATATGTGGTTGTTGTTGTTATGTGCCGTCGAGTCACTTGCAACTCATAGTGACCCTATGTACAACAACCCTAAACCCTGCTCTATCCTGTGCCAATCTTATTGTCTCTGACACACCCATCCCGATTACCCCAGTTACTGAATTAGTCCACCTCATAGAGGGTCTTCCTCTCATGCACTGTCCCTCCACCCTACCAAGCATGACGTCCCTCTCCAAGAACTGGTCTCTCCTTACAACATGTCCAAAGTATGTCAGACAAAACTTCAGAGTCCTTGCCTCCAAAGAGCAGCCTGGTTTCACCCTCTCCAGGATGAACCTGTTTGTTCTCCTAGCAGTCCATGGTATATTCAACACTCTTCTCCAGCACCACAGCTCAAAGGCATCAATTCTCCTTCTAGCCTCCCTAGTCATTGTCCACCTTTCTGATGTATAGTAAGTAAGCCTGGAACAGGTGCACCTTAGTCTCCAGACTGACATCCTTGCTCTTCAGTACTCTGGTGAGGTCCCTGATGACGGATTTTCCCAATGCAATTAATTTTTTTTTAATTTACTCATTGCCATTATTAAGCTAACCTTCAGTTGCTACATACATATGAGAAATTGGACAGTAAATATGGAAGACTAAAGAATTGATGCCTTTGAGTTGTGACACTGGTGAAGAGTATTGACCATCCCATGGGCTGCCAGAGGAAACCAAACAAATCTGTCTTAAAAGAAGGGTAATCAGAGCATTCCTCAGAAGTACAGCGGCTGTGCTCGCTTCGGCAGCACATATACTAAAACTGGAACGATACAGAGAAGATTAGCATGGCCCCTGTGCAAGGATGACACGCAAATTCGTGAAGTGTTCCATATTTTCGACCCTGAAATGAACCAGTCTGTAACGAAGGCTAACTCCTAACTCCTTTCACCTACAAATTTCGTCTTTGGATACAAAGCTAAGTGGATAGTCCTTACCGAGGGACTGTTTAAAAAAAAAAAAAAAAGAAGTACAGCGGCTGAGACGTGGTCTCTCTCCTGCTTTGATCATGTCGTCAGGAGCGTCCTATACCTACAAAGCGACATCAGGTTGGCGAAAGGGAGGAAGACTCTGAAGGAGTCTCTGAGGAAGCCCGACACAGTGGCTAGCTCAGTGGGCTCAGCACAGCAGAGAGGGTGGGCATGGCACAGGACTGGACAGAGTTGGATCCTACCCCCTGGTACCTAGTAAACCACCCTTGGTGGCCGACGGAAGTGAACGGTAAGACCCTGGCCACTAGATGGCAACAGTGAGGGCCCTCTGCCAAGGCTGAAGTCGGCTTCTGCTTCTGAACAACTTTGTGACTATGGATGTGAAAATGTAACTTTGTTGTGACTACGGGCCTGAAAATGTAACTTTGTTTCTTCTTAGAAAATGAACAATGCACACCCATGTTTATTTGGGCTTTGTTCACAACAGCAAGGAGTTGGAAACAACCTAAGTGCCCATCAACAAATGAATGGATAAAGAAGCTGTGGTATATTCACACAATGGAATACTATGCTGCATTAAAAAACAAGGAACTAAAACAAATAAATAAATAAACAAGGAACTCATGCAATATTATACATAATGGGTGACCCTGGAGGACATTATGCTGAGTGAAGTATCTCAGTCACAAAAGGACAAATACTACATAGTGCCACTGTTGTGAAACAGGACTGACATCGGGGTTGGGGGGAGACTGAGAAAGATGGGATAAATTATGTATACTGCATTGAAACAGAGGAGGGAGAGAACTGTTTAAAAGCGATATGTGATTAGGTATTATTGTCATGACAGGAGTCCAGAACGAAGGCTGCACAGTGGAGTGGACTTGAGGGGAGGGATTGTTAAACAATGAAAGCACTTTTCTTTTACTTTTCAAAGAGAAGAGCAAATTGGGTGGAGGGAGAGGTGGGCAGGGAGAAAAGTGTAACAGTGAGTGAATGGAAATCCTCAGTCTCTGTAAACTTTCATTAAAATTAATAATAATTAAAAAAATTTTTTTAAATGAACAAAGGGAAGAGAGGGCCCAAATACTACTTTCCTCATAGCATTGTTGGGAGAATTGTGTGCTTTCAACAGTGTTGAGCATAGTGTTCGTTTTCAAGCAATGCTCGAGTTGTTACCATATCTCTGTGGTATGCAGGGACCTCCCTTCCTCAGCACTTGCCCGCTTCTTCCTCTGCTTTTACCAATCCCTGCTCCAAACCCATGACGGAGCCTGGTTCCCAAAGCTCAATTCACAGCACAGGGACCCATAAGAACTCCCCTTTGGCATGAAGGGAGCTCTGGTGACCTGGTGGCCTGGTGGTAAGGAAGCTACACTATCAATGTAAAGGCCCACAGTTCAAATCCACCAGTTGTTCCATAGGAGAAAGATGAGCCGTCGACTCATATAGCAACTCAGTGGCTCTGAAAACCCTCCTGAGGACCAGCTATGGGGAAGCTTATTCCACACAAGAGCTGGTGAGTGGGGCCTGTGGGTGTGTCCCGAAAGCTCCAAGGGGCTCCCAGAAAGTCTTCCTCCTTCTGGTGGCCCCTTTCTCTCCTGAGTATCCACTTCAAAACCACCTCGAATTCTCCCTCTTGAACACAAATCAACAGCCTGCCGGTCCTGAATGGACAGGGCAGGGGGAAGGGGCCTCAGAGAGACACCCGCCCGCCCGCCTTTGTCTCTCTCCCAAGAGTTGATCCCACCCTGTCACCTCCCTATCTGGAGCTTTCCCCTCCAGAATGGTGGACTCCTGGCCTCGATCCTGTCACTCACTGTCTGGAAGACTTGAAGCTCAGAACCCAGGATGTGAAAATGAGGGCAGAAGGCACAGAGGATGTGGAAGTGGAGTGTTGTTTCATCGTTCTTGGCCTCAGAGAATGAACACAAAATCCCTGTTAGGTGCCCTGGGACAACATCCACAGAGTTGGGGGCCCCTTGTTGGACCATGGCTCTGGGGCCCCACCCAGGGTCCGAGCACATACAAGACAGTGCCCATCTCACCTCATAGGTTTTCCCCAAGGACTGGCGATCTGTAGTACAAAGACCACCCCTGGACAGTGTGTGGGTCTGTCCAATAGCAGGGCTGGCCCACATCACAGAGGCGCCTGGAGTCACAGTGATTCTAGCTCATGGGACGTGTCATCTCAAGCGAAAAGATGCACATGCCTTTGAATGAGGGGGGCATCTGGGAACCAGAAGAAGCTTGGCACTCCCCACCCCAGCCAAGCAGTGGCTCTGTGTGTGTGTGTGTGTGTGTGTGTGTGTGTGTGTGTGTGTGTGAGCCAGCTCTCACCTGGTGCATGTTCCCACGCCCTTACCCCCAGAATGACTGGATCCCACTAGAGGAATTACTGGAGTGAGGAGAAATGGAGAAGACACGTTCTGTTTATACAGGGGTGCTGTCTCCTCCCTCTCTTATTTCTGGGTCCACAATTCTCTCTAGTCCACAGGACTCACATGAAGGGCAACTAGGAACCCCAGTTCCCCAGCGCAGCCCAGCAGCGCCCAACTCCATACCCCTTTTTCACACTGGAGTTGGGTGTCTCGATCACCCAGGGTATCCACATGAGACCCAAGGTGAACCTCAGAGATATGTGAAGGCCGAGGGGGACACAGGTGCTGTGGGAAAGGGGAGGAGGGGGTGGGGATAGTGGGAAGAGGGGTCTGAGGAGAGATGGTGGAGCTGGAAGCAGGAAGCAGGAACCAGGCAAATGGGGACAAGCATGAGGGCGGAGGAGGGTCCTGGGTGTTGACTCACCTGACACCTTCAGCTCCAGGTAGTCGCTGCGCTCAGAATACTGACTGTTTTTGTAATAGATGCAGGTATAACATCCCGCAGTGCGTCTATTCCATCTGGCGATGGTGAATCGGGCCTCAGTTTCCATCCCAGAACGGCTCTTCTTGCCCTTCACATCTTTAAATGGAGTGGACTGTCCATCTTTCTCTAGTCGGAATGTGACATCTGTAGGAGGACCTCTACACACAAAGGTCACAGGCGTCCCCCAGGGGACCACTGAGCTCGGCTCGGCTGAGATGGAGGGTCTGGGCAGGGAGCCTAGGAGGGAATGAGGACAGACATCTCAGGGTCCCCTCATCACATGCCACCTTCCACGTGATTCATTCACCCACTTCCAGCTGCACAGTGTAAGGAATCGCGTTAGTAAATGACAGCTCCGTGCGGCCGCCACTACAAACAGCTCCCTCCATCCCGTGTCCGCCTTAATTCTTGTCACCGCTGAGTTCTTCTCATCTTGACAGAGGGGTGAGGAGGTTTGGCCACACTGTGGACCTTGCTCGGTGCCTCCCAGGGGGTGTGTGCATGTCACCAAACCTCATGGGAGCCACTACGAGCCTCCTTGGAAAAGCTCAGCTCTGGCCCTCCGCCTGGCTGTTTTCAGAGGCGAGAAAAGCAAAGCCTTTTTATTGTCTGAACAGTCAAATAATTACGCTTTTGAAATGCAAAGAGCTGTCAGCAAGGCAGGTGTGTGGAGATGGTGGAAGCAGAGGGCTGGCTGATGGAGGTGGCTAGCAGGGGGTGGAGAATAAGGACGAGTGGATGGAGGAAGCAAAATCAGCCGACTGTTGTGTGACTGGAACACAAAGATGTATAACAAACTATCACATGTAACAAAGTATGACATGTAACAAACATAGTGATATGTGGCAAAGTTCATCTAATATACTGTAACAAATAATGGTATAGGACAAGAATTATATAAAGATATGTAACATAAAGGATACTATGTAACAAAAAATGTCCCATACAGGAGTCTAGAGTGAAGGCTACATAGTGGAATGGACCTGGCTGAGGGTTTGTAAAACAATGAAAGAATTTTTCTTTTACTTTTCCAAGAGGGTAGTGTACTAGGGGGGAGGGTTGGGAGAGGAGAAAAGTGCAACAATGAATGAATGGAAATCCAAAGTCTCTGTAAATGTTTACTGAAATTAATAAAACATTTAAATAAAACAAACAACAAAAAAAGTTCCATAAAGAATGAAGAAGGAGGAGGGTGAGGATTAAGGTAAATGCTGGGATTTCGTCCATTGGGATTGTATCTCTCCCTGCTAAGGGGATTTCAAGGGAGTTTGTGTCTTTCGTCACATTGAATCTCAGCTGTCTTTTTTTTAATTATTATTAAATTTTATTAGTTTTAATGAACATTTACAGAGATTTTGGGTTCTCATTCATTCATTGTTGCACTGTTTTCTCTACCCTCCTCCCTAGTTCGTTCTTCTTCCCCCCCTCCATGTCTGTTTTAATTGTCCAATTGCCACAGTGCTTGTCAAAGCCAGTTCTGATTAATCTCCTTTGTCAGTCCTTTGCCATTCCCTATTTTGGTGCACGAAGTGGGACTATGAAGAAATGAGATTTGTGGATGGCACAGGGCTCCTAATTAAAGGGTGGTGTTTCAGATCGACCCAGGTGCATGTAGGAAGAGTGGCGTGGTGGTCTACTTCCAAAAAAAAAAGAAAACCACCAAACCCAACCACCTGAAACCTGTGGAATGCAGCTCTGCTCTGACATGCACAGGTCATTGAGTTGACATCTACTAGACAGTAAATGTGTTTGGTTGGGTTTTGTTGTTGTTTTTTGTTTTGTTTTGTTTTCTTCTTACTAAGAAGGCGGAGGAAGAACAGTAGAGGGAAAGGGGTTAAGATTCCTTCCGTGCATTTATTTACAAGTTAGGAGTGTCCCACCAGCCCCTCCTGGAGTTAGCATCACCTCACCCGGCAGTGGTGGAGAGAAAGAGCAGGAAAGTTTAAAGGCGAGTATTCACTCACTCTGTGCTTGGATCACGGGTCCCAGGCAGAGCACTGAAAAAGAAAATTTAGTGAGGAAAAATGCATCTGGCACCGACAGGTCGCTCGAGGCAGGGAGAGGGTACTGTTCGCTGCTCGGTGGCTTCCCTGCCTGTGCCCAGGATAGAAGTCTTCCCAAGGGTTGTCAAGGCTGCCAGCTTTCCAAAGCAGACAGACCAACATACCTGCCTGCCAAGGCACCTCTGGGCGGCTTTAAACCATCAACCTTTCAGCTGTGGTTTCAAGGAGCAAACCATCCACACAACGCAGAGATCTGAGAAAGGGTTATGCTGCCTGCAATTTCCAACGCATTTCAGCATTCATCTGACTACATAGTTAGCCATGGCTGTATGATTGTGTAATGCTTCTTCTCACTCTGAAATTGGCTGGGGTTTTTTTGGTTTGTTTTTTTTTTTTCTCCCTTGTGTGTCTGTTTGTTGGTTTGGTTGTTTTTTTTTTTTAAAATGTCTTATTTATTTGACTTTGTTTATGACTTTATAGGAATTTTCTCCCTGTGCACAACTACCATCACTTCTGTCCTCCAACTTTGTTTAACATACTCTGTATTGTTGTTTCCATTTACTCCCACTTCACGTCTTTTTTCATCCCTCTTACCACTCCAGGACTGATTCTGCGTATAAACCTTTTCTTACCTTTTTATAGTCATGATATCATACCACAATTAAACCCCAAACTGTAAAGAGCATCCGAAAAATAAAAACAACCAAAACCAGAGCCAATCGAGAAGCCCTAATCTGTGGCATGAGTAAACTTTCAAGCATACCCAAAAAGAGGATAAAATAAATGAATAAGACCCTCTAATAAGAAACCCCTAGGGCATCAAAAAACTTCTTCAGCAGGGTAAAAAAGAAGCCCACAAACTAGGGAGAAGTAGACATATCTGATAAGAGACTTATATCTAAAATCTACAGAATACTCCAGCTCTTCAACGTGAGAAAGACAAACAACCAGGCGAACTCTGGTGGCCTACTGGCAAGAAGCTGCACTGCAATCCCAGAGGTACACGGTTCAAATCCACCAGATGCTCTGCCGGAGAAGGAGGCGCAATATTCTCCTGTACCAGTCAGATCTGATTTGACGGTACATGCACACAAAATAATAAAAATTTTAAAAAAATAAAAAAAAGAAAGACAAACAACCCAATAACAAAATGAGAAGATGATATGAATAGAGTCTCACTCAAGTAGAAAGCCAGACGGCCAATAAGCCCATGAAAAAATGCTCTGAATTCCTAGCTAGTAGAGAGATGTGAATCAAAACAACAACCAGGTACAACCTCTCAGTCCAGCAACAATAACAAAACTCAACAGGACGGTAAACAAATGCTGGCCTTGGATGTGGAGAGACTGGAATGGTTTTTCGACACTGGTGGGAATAGAAGGCAGTCTGGCATTTCCTCAAAGAGCTGGTAAGAGAATTACCATGTGACCCAGCAACCCCACCACTGGGAATATACACCCTAAAGACACATGAATCACAACTCAAACAGGTGTCTGCACAGAGCCATGATTATGACTGCATTGTTCGCAATCACAAAGGAAGGGAAGCAACCCAAGTGCCCATCAGCGAATGAATGGATGGGGAAAACGGCAGTTTCCTGTGGGAAGCTGAATATCAAATTTAATGTTAATAATAAGCCAAATGCTGTATCACAATATAAGGGAGGCAGAATACAAGCTGGAGTTCACCCAGAGGCACTAAGGCGTTACTGAAGAGTCAACAGTGTTCTTAGTTTGTATTTACTGAACGCCCCCTCCTGACATAAGCATAAGGTAAACACTAGAGAGGAACTTGGCCTTATCTGCAAAAGACTTGCCCGTGATCCTTTGTTTTTTTTCTTCTCCCTTGTGATTATCTTTTGTTTACCTTCCTGATGATTCTCAATAAATACACAGAGAGTTATGGCTTGGGCTCTTCAGTCATCAGGACTGCTGGCCCCCTGTCTTTACTCTCTTTTATTTCATTCTTGGTTGTCTGTCTCTGTCTTGTTGTTAATAATTACTCTACCCTCGGTCTGCAACAGTTTCCATCACCTTCACACAGTGGGATATTATGCAGCGCTGAAACGCAATGAACTTGAGGAGTATAAAACACTACAGCACGTGGATACATCTGGAAGATGGTATGCTGAGTGAAAGATCTCAGTCACAAAAGGATAAATACTGCATAAAGCCACTGTTTTAACTATAGGATGGTTGGGGAGGGGGAGCAGGAAAATAATGGACAAATAATCAAGTTGAACAGGTGAAGGGGAGGAAAATGTGAAAGGCCCAGATGATTAGACATTATGTTTATAACTATTAATAATCTGTACATAGGGTTTTCAGAGGCCTGCTATTTCAGAAGTGAATGGCCAATCCTTCTTCCTAGTCTGTCTGGGACAGGACAAACTTTACCAAGGGAATCGGGGGAGGGGAGGGAGAAAACCAAGGTGTAGGAATGAGGGAATGAAAACCAAACTCATTGTAAACATCCACTGAAATCACAATTAAAAAAACTCATATCACCATCAATGTTCCAGCCTTTCTCCCACATCCTTTCCTTTTTCTTAATTTTTCTTTTATATTGACTTTCTCACAAAGTCCGTATGTGTACCATTACCTCTATCTATGTGGATGGCCACAGACACATGAAGAAATGCTCAAAAATCACTGGCAGTGAGAAAGATGCAAATCAAAATCACAATGAGTGATCCATCTCATCCCTTTCTTATAACCTATTGTTGTAACGGTGGTTTTATGCAGTATTTATCCTTTTGTGACTGAGCTATTTCACTCAGCATATTATCTTCCAGATGTAGCCATGTGATGTAGTGTTTTACACTCCTCAAGTTCATTGCGTTTCAGTGGTGCGTAATATCCCATGGTGTGAATGTTAGGGAAACCACAATGCATCTCTCCCCAGAAGCAATGGCAAACTTTAGCCGGGCAGCAAGCAAGAAACGTTGGAGAGGCTGTGGAGAGGTGGGAACTCTCCCACACCGTTGGTGGCAATTGTAAAACGGTACAACCACTTCCTTTCTTAACCGTGAACTGATCCTCCCCAGCCCTTATCGGGTTTGGAGAACAAACCTTCCTTGGATAAACGACCCCCATGGGAAGCGCTGAGAGTTCTCCCCGGTGGAAGGGCTTCCATCTACACCCCAGGTCCTGACTCTCCTGGATGGGATCAGGAAGCCGGATTTCCAACCCCAGGTGTACCGTTCCCCGCTCCCCACCACCACCTCTAATTCTCTGCTGTCGACTCACCGAGGCCCAGCAGGATGGCCGGAGTCAGGGGCATCGCAAGCCTGTCCAGTCCTGGAGCCAACAGCAGATAGACAGCCCTGCAGATACAATAGACAGGATGTACTGCTGGGGCGCCTGTCCTCGGGTATCAGCGTTAACCGCTCTTCTCAAAAGGGAAGGATTTATTTCCCCAATTCTCCCCTGAAAGAGATGGGGGCAGGGTATGTGGGGCGTCTCAGCTGCTGAGAAAGCTTTTAGACCCCATGGCTTTGAATGTGGCTGACCTTATCACCAGATCAAGCCTCCTACGCAGTGAACTTGCTCTTAATCTGGGGGGCCAGGGCTTCACAGGCTGGGAAAAGATGTCCAGCACCATAACAAGAGTGTTACTGTTATTACTCTGTGCCATCAAGTCAGAACCAACGCATAGTGGATCCCCAACGAGTTTTCAGAGACATGCAGTCTCATGGGAGGTGGCTGCTTCTCTTCTGTGGAGCAACTGGTGGTCTTGAACCATGTGCCTTTGGGTTCACAGTGTCCCTCTTTACCTGGGCCACCAGAGCTCCCTCAAGCAAGATTGTTGATGCTGTTTATTTACCATCATTTTGGAACTGACTCATAGCTGACCTGCCAGACGGTTTTCAGAGATAATAAGTCACAGTGGAGGAGATTGCCCATCTTTCTCCCGGGGCGCAGCCAGTGGATTCAAATTGTGTACCTTTGCTTTGCCAGGACAATTCCTTATCCATAAGCGACCAGATGGTACACCTATTTAAGTCTTCATTTCTTCAGATTAAAAATAGAAAAGATGCTATGCTGAATTAAGCCTGTCTTGCTTCATATTAAACATGCAAACTATGAAATCGCCTTCCAACCACCTACTAAGGTCTTTGTTAGTTACCGTCCTGTTGCAGACCAAGGGTAAGGCATTTTTACAATGATTAATAATGAGACAGCCAGCCAGGAATGAGATAGAGCAGAGAGCATAAAACAGGGGGCCAGCAGTTCTCCACTGAAGGGCCCAAGTCATGCTTCTCTGTATTTATTGATAATCAGGGGAAACAAATCATAAAAAGGAATTCCTTGTCAATGAAGCCGAATTTTTCTCTATTGTCAGCCTAATGCTCTAGTTCAGGAAGTATTTCACACATAGTAACACTCCCTCTGTAGGGGGTCCCCAGCTGTCTCCTGTCTGCAGGGAACAGCTCATTTTCTGTGATCTGTCACAAGAGAAATTCCCAACTTATACATTTGTAATATTTGGTATGAAGTTTGGCTTCCCATACTGTCCTGTCAATTTCAACTCCACGTGTGTGAAGTGGAACTGTGCTTTGTAGGGTTTTCCTAACTACAGTCTTCAGCAAGTGGACCACCAGGTCTGCTTTCTGAGACAGCTTTGCGTGGGTTCAAACCACCTTTCTTTCAGCCAGCGATCTAACACATCACACTCTGCACCACCGAGGGACCCCACTAAGAATTCTTCAGCGTGACCTTCCAATAGATGGACCAGTCTAGAAATCGCACAGGGGGAGCTTGTCCAGGTTTTTCCCCTGAGGAGCAGCTGTTGGATTCGAACCACAGAAGAGTCCATCAAAGTGTGTAACTGGTGGGTGCACCATGAACTAATATTCCTTGGCGGTAGGGAAATGAAGTCCTGAGGCAGCCGTGACAGGGAGAAAGCTGGGGGGGGGCATGCTGAAAGGACAGAAGTCAGCTGAAAAAGGACAAGAGCTGATGATCTCGCTTCTGTGACATCAGGAAATCAAGAGAAACCAAGACTGCAGTTTCGGGGAGGCGGGGGATGGGGAATGAGGAAATTTAGGCCTTGGTGTTCTTGTGTTTAGTTTCCTGATTGTGATGATACCATCTCACTCCAGTCAGAGTGGCAAAGTTTAACAGGGCAGCAAGTAATAGATGTTGGAGAGGATGTGGCGAGAACTCTTTGACATTGTTGGTGGGATTGTAAAATGTTGCAACCACTCTGAAAGGCAGTTTAGCACTTCCTCAAAAAAGCTGAACATAGAAATTCCATATGACCCAGCTATTATTCCACTACTTGGAATATACTCTGAGAATATGAGAACTGAGGCACAAACTGAGATTTGTACACCAATGTTCATAGCAGCATTAGTCACCATCGCAAGAACATGGAAACAGCCCACGTGTCCAACCACAAATGAATGGATTGAGACATTATGGCACATTCACATAATGGAATACTATGCAGCACGCAGGAGCAATGACTTTGTAAATTATGATCTAACTTGGGAGGGACTGGAGAGCATTATGCTGAGTGAAGTAACTCAGTCACATAAGGATAAATATTGTATAAACCTGTTATAAAATGAGTGTAAGAATCCAGGAGGGGTGGGAGAGGATGGAAGCAGAGGGATGTGGATGTGCAGGGGGAAAGGAGGATTAAACATGTTGTCGATGTTGTTGTTATGTGCCATCGAGTCATTTGAGACTCATAGCAACCCTATGTACAACAGCCCTAAACCCTGCTCTATCCTGTGCCAATCACATTACCTCTGACACACCCATCCCGAGTACCCCAGTCACTGAATCAATCCACCTCATAGAGGGTCTTCCCCTCCTGCGCTGTCCCTATACCCTACTAAGCATGATGTCCCTCTCCAAGGACCTGTCTCTCCTTACAACATGTCCAAAGTATGTCAGACGAAGCCCCAGAATCCTTGCCTCCAAGGAGTAGCCTGGTTTAACTCTCTCTAGGATGGATCTGTTTGTTTTCTTGGCAATCCATGGAACATTCAATATAGGGTTGTAAAATTTGATGGGTAGGGGAGTGAAGGAAATTGAAATAATTTGTTCAAATGTATATTTGAATTTTGTAAATAAACTAGTTGTTGTTAAGTGCCATCGAGTCGCAGATGACTCATAGCGACCCCATGAAGGAGAGTCCTCGACACTTGGGTGCCTTTCTTCCTCTCTCCAGAATAAACTAGTAGAAACATAAAAAAAAAATAAAATTAAAAAAAGATAGTGATGATAAATGCACAGTGTGAAGAGATTTTGAGGCCCCGTCTCACCGACTTTGGGCAGGTAGCCAGGAGGGGCCAGTCCTTGGAGAAGGACATCATGCTTGGAAGGGTAGAGAGACAGCTCAGTAGAGAAAGACTCTGGATGGGGTAGATTGACTCAGTGACTGGGGTAACAGGGGCAGTGAGATTGGCCTAGGATAGAGCAGGGTCAGAGCTATTGTGCATAGAGTCTCTATGAGTTGTGGGTGGCTTGACAGCACATGAAACAACAACAACATGTAAAGTTAAGTCTCAACGTTGTGAAAATTATAATTCTCACTAAGAGCAGGCTAGAGATTCAATGCAACCCCAACACGGATACCGAGCTGCAAAAGACAGTTCCCAGTTTTATCTGGACAGGAACGAGTCCCTGAAAAAGCAGAGAGCTAATGAAAAAGACAGACAGAGTGGGAGGTATCCTATACCCTGACCTCCACACTTACTGTGCAGCTACTGCATAATCAAAGCAACGCAGCACTGGTACGAAGACTCGTACATGCCAATCAACGGGACAGAATCAAGAATCCAGAAACCAACCCACCTGCTTACGGCCAAGCAATCTTTGACAAGGAGGTGAAATCAACCAAGCGGGAAGATAGCATGTGTTCTCTCAGGATTGGCCAAGACAAGACAAGAGAAACGATTTCTGTTGCCGGAGAGGGGGGAGGGAATTGGGCGAAACTGAAGTGTGTGCACAGGATGTGGTACCTGGCACTGCCACCATGGTTCAAGCAGCTTGTGACTTAACAACCACACAGAGCAACTGAGCAGGCTCCGACCCCGATGTGTTCGGAACCTCTGGTTTCCTATAGCTTGGGGCTGAAGAAGAGTCTCGACTTCTGAACAGTGGGGTTTGTTTGGTTGGTTTTTTAAATATTTATTTTTTAAATTTATTATTAATTTCAATAAAAATTTACAGAGACTTTGGATTTTCATTCATTCATTCATTCATTGTTGCACTTTTCTCCCCTCCCAAACCTCCCCCCCACCCCAGTACACTCTCCTCTTGGAAAAGTAAAAAAAAATTCTTTCATTGTTTTACAATCCCTCCCCCCAGGTCCATTCCACTATGCAGCCTTCGCTCTGGACTCCTGTCATAACAATAATACCTAATCACATATCCCTTGTAAAGAGTTCTCTCCCTCATCTGTTTCAATGCAGTATACATTATTGAACCCATCTTTCTCAGTCTCCCCCCAGCTGCAAGGTCAGTTCTGTTTTACAACACTGGCACCATGCAGTATTTGTCCTTTTGTGACTCAGATACTTCA